CAAAGGAAACGGCACGAACTTGTGGGACGGGTCGATATGTCCCCTAAAAGATAGCTCCGAGCGGTGCTTGCAGGAAACCCCGTCGCTAAATGTTAACGACCATTTGCCAAAGAGAGAAATTTGTTATTCCACGCCGTAGTACGGGCGGCCTGGCCCCAATTTGACTTTACACGTGTCTCGTGGAATCGTTCCGATTAATGCTTTGCCCCGCAAAAGGGTTATTGGCGGGAACTGTTTCAGCTGGCTCGAGTCGTTGGCCATTACTTGCCGAAGCCCGATCCTATGCGTAACGAGCCACTTTCTCTTCGAAATGTCAACGGTTCTTTTCACTTTTCAGCCCCTCGCGCGATATTCCCGCGTAAATCGATTAACACCACCAGGCGGATCAATGATTCTCCCTTTTCCGTGTTGCAGATACTCCTTGGGATCTTTGAAGTCATCGACTGATCCCGACGTCCAATTGGAAGATTCAATCGGCTCTGAAGTCGACCTCTACGTGTTTACGATGGTTATGGAACGGTTTAATGGTGTACAGCAGTGGACACGAGTACTTTCCCTGCAGACACGGTGCTGATAATGCATGATAAGAAGGCATTCATGTACGCCAGTGTACGACTTCGTCCAATATATGTATCAGGACTGCGGAACGTTGATCAGAATCTGAAATTGTTCTGGTCAGGGCCTGGGTTTTCCGCTGTTATCGCAGGTGAAAGAATAATCAGTAAATGATAACGCGTTATTTATACCTATGTATCACTTTTAAGCTTACCGATCCAGCTCGCACTGGGTGGACTCTTCAGTATTTCGCCTGGATGCAAAACTGACGGCTCGTCGTTAACAATGACTCCTGAAAATCGGGAAATGGCGGACGATTAATCGACACAGGAAGATAGGATTTTTTACAAGCTACACCGGATTTTGACGCGGACATTTTCTTTGGTTATCTAGCTGTATGAGTTTTATCCTACATCATAAAGCTAGGTTACCGGAGTTAAGATCCTCGCCATATCAACTCCAACAATTAATACCTCAGACCCGAAGAAATGAGTCACCTTAACGTAGTTCTTGGTAGTCATCGACTTTGTAATTGTATTCGTATGAACGTTGAATGTTACTTGTCTTTACCGTTTTTATATGGAATTTGTTGGTATTCGGCTATCAATTAGACTGCAGAAAGCGTTGCGACTTTGAATGAACTGCACTGTTAAAACAAAATATTATAATTTTATTACATTTTTGTTGGAAGTTTTATTCAGACATGGTGTACTAATTTTATAACATATTTTCAAATAAAATGTATAACATATATTATAAATTTAGTACATATGTGATATAAATGTATGATATATGTTATAAATTTGTGTTGATCGGTACTTGATATTAAATGTTTTTTCTGCAATCAAACAAATTTTGACATATGTTCCGGGCACTTTCGAGGACGATTTTCGAAACTGCCCTACCTTAAATGCTTAAATAAATCTTTTTGCAATTATCGTGGTATCGAACCCGGTGCTCATGGAAAAGTAGAGCAGTAACGTTGTACTTGATACTCCCGGAGTTTTCTATTGATTGTAAGAATTTTTTTTAGTATTATTCAAATATTTCTCGGATTCGAAAATGTCACTACAATGATTCTCCGCCAGCACCACCGATACTTGTCACCTTTCGATTAAATTTATTTAAAAATAAACTTACGTAAACGATCATAAAATTAAGAACTCATCTAAAAAGTTTGCAAACCATGCGTACTAAATGACTTTCGAGTAACAAATTTATAATGTTTCTCCGCAATTACATAAAATTACAAGACGGTGTTATAAAATTGAAAATTTACTTAGAATTTTATAATAAATGTATACTAATTCACTATTAAGACATCCAATTTATAATTTTACCGCAACCTTATGTACTAAAAGATTATGAATTTTTTTAATAGTGTAGTGTGCGAACAATCAGGTTGTCGTAAGAATGCGGTCCTCCATAATGTATGATAGCTTTGTGAAATTCCTACTCCGAGATTTTCTTTATTGTCCTGGTGCCTTGAAAGGATGTATGAAAATGTGTGAATAACTTATGTAATATGAATCTTCTGTATATCCAAGGTTAATCGGAAAACGTGCGTTTCACGGATCACGTTGCCAGAACGAGGCACGTTTCACAAGTAAGGCACGAGCAAGGTGAAGGACGTACTAGAATAATTTATCCGTTTAAGTATTCGATACTGAATGTTTATAGATACAGTAGTACTAAATTAATAATAATGATTGTTAATAGTTGAAGTAAAAATAAATTTCCTCTGCTGTTTCATCCACACAGTACTTCTTGTTACGATGATGGCGAACGAAGAATTTAAATGAACCCATACAGACAAATAAATGTAAAATTAAATTCCTTATTGATCATCTAATATTACGCCTCATTCGTAAGTATATACATATAAGTTCTACTTTATTAATGCGATCGTATTGCTTCCACTCATTGTTATATAAAGTAAGCATTATTATTGCAGTAATCCTAATAAGACCTCGTGCGATATGTATTTAACGTAGGCATGTAGCAAAACTGATCAGTTGAGATATAATTTAAGTACAAGGATGCATTTTAAATTACGATCATTTACGCTGATAAGAAAAAAAAATACTAGAATTATTTTATAATTAGTTATTGTCTACGTCTGTAAATACATAATGATCGGATATTATTGCACGTTCTCATTCAATACCTGCTAAATATAATTATTTGTTGTTAACAAAGATGATGTCGTTGCGCCAATAGTTATAAAGGACTTAATTAAATTAGGTACACTTTATATAGATTGAATGATGATAATTCAGCAATATGAATATCCGCTTCCATTGTCTGTGAGAATGCGTATACCGACAAAACCTTTAGTTTTTAGATCCGGACACGATGCGTGACGAGGAAAGTTCCCACAATAAAGAACTCCCAGATGTACGTAACAATTATTTATACCAGTACACTTCTTCACTGAGAATTACTTGAATCATGCGTACGAAATGACGGACGCCTCGATTATTACCAAATAGATTATTCTTTCCTCCTTCGGCAAATTTTCGTAATTTACTTAGGAGAAACATATTCGTAATCTCATTGATGTATAATGTCATCCTCTTAATAATTATAATCATTGGACGTCATAAAGAGTAACAGAGCAGGTAACAAGTAAATGTACTCGTAAGTATATCTTTCCTCGTTTAGTTAATATTTTCTGTAAAGTAAATTGTCGTTAAAAAAGTCAGGGAAATCGCGCAACAAGTATTCATCGATTAACAAGTAAATAGCTTCAACGGTATAACTATTTGTATAATAATGTCTTCATAATTCATACTCGATCTCCTAAAGTATGGAAAACATTATCTAAAAGGATTTCTAGGGCATTAAATTGAAAATTAGTACCAAATTACGTTATGGCTGCAACGTTACACGTTAAACGATTCATTACTCTGAGATTCATAAATACTTATGAATATTACCTTTTTAATGAATTCAAGATTAAAAATGTATAATAAATGTTAAACATTTTACGAATTTATTGATATGCATGTCGGTAAGCTCCTAAATTGTTTGAAATTCTTTCATGGTGAGGGCACCACCGTCTGAGAATCTTAGGATACAGATTCCTAACTTAACGACAGTTACCAACCGGAACACTTTTAAACTCAATTTTTTTATTGATACTGAAGAAACAATCACAATTCCTATTCACGATGTATTCCTGCGATCCATTCCTTATTTAGCACATGCAAATCCACTCGAGAGTAAAAATAGGTAACTGCCTACCAAGAAAAAAGAACATGTCATGCATCTGCATCATGTCGAGCACTCCAGAACAATGTGGATTCTCTCTTGGGTGTGTGATGTAAATACCCAAATCCTGCAGCGATCAATATCATGGCACAATTTCATGCCCAGTGACAAATTCTGATATGCTACGCTTTAATTAACAGGCAATTAAGAGTATTGTGAGCAGTATTTGTCCATAAAAAGCTGATGAAATTCGGTTCACGTAAACCTCGTGAGCGTGGGGGCTGAATTATCGTTGGGTTGACTAAATGCAGAAAAATGTTTACATTGAGTACATCGCGGCTGTATTGTATTTAAATATACTTTAACTGCACCACGGACAACTAATTTCTTTCTTACAGAAAGTACACCCACATAATAGATTTGTATCTCATATATTACCGTAATAATTTGTAAAAAAGCAGATGCAAATATTGATTATACCAACGTAACCATAATCGCTTCAACGAAAACATTTTATATTTAGCCTTGACATGGTATACGATTTTATTCATTACGTATGTTCATAATATTCCTTGCAAAAAGGGTAGATAGCTAAACGTTTAAATTTCTAGAACCTAACCTTAAGAATAATTTAGAAAACAATGTTATTCCAGACATTTTCTAATTTCTGACCTTGAATATTACTATAATTCATCAAACATCTTTATGCAATATCAATTCTTTATTTACGGGAATATCGTCTTATACATTTATTTAGTATCAACATAACCACGAAATATTAATAATAAAAAAAAATCAATGTTTCTGATAGCGACTTCTCGAGTATCTCCGAAATCCAAAATTCATGAGATTATTCAGTTTCATTGTATCAAGAGATTGCTGTGGAATAAAAAATAGTGCTATTTTCCACTTTATTGACGAACGTGGAAACCTCGGGAAACAGTGACCAGTCGCTCGCGAACATTCGCTCCTGAAGCAGCGGAAGTACTACGTGTACGTTGATCGACTAATTTTCTTAAAATGGACTTGTAATTCCAATTCACCAAAAATATTCTGTGACTAAAAGAACACTCGCATTTTTTAAAGATACATTTCAAATATAAGCTATTGAGTAGGATTGATTTAATTAAAAACGCAGTCATATCTATGTTTAAAACCAGCGGAAGTGACGCGCATCGGCAGCGCTGAAACCTTCTAGAACCTTCTAGAATGTTCTACAAAGTTCCACGAGATCTGTGGCGGGTATATAAGCCGGATAAGAACGCGGTGCTCCGCATTATAACTTGACCTACGGTGCGATACTGAGGCATTGTGAGAGACGGTTTTTTTTACAGCGATTTCAAGCGTGTTCTACCTGGAGGTTGTAGAATTAATCACCAGCAAACGTAAGATATCCAATATAACTATTCATTCATTAGATTTTGATTCTAACCTCCATTAAAATTGTCCCTTTGTATCCTGTTAATAGGGATTAAAAAAAAGATCTGTGCATTGTGAAAATGATAGAATGAGAGATAATCTTAAGAGACCCATATTATTTGTTAATAATTTTAGTTGAAATTAAATTTATTAAAATCATTAGTCATTGATATATGAAATGAATTTGTTTTGCATTTATAGTTAAACCTTTTTTGCTTTTTCAGATGCCTGAACAAATGGAAACTACTTCAGCGGAGGTGGAGACCTTCGCCTTTCAGGCGGAGATTGCTCAGTTGATGTCTTTGATTATCAATACCTTCTATTCCAACAAAGAGATTTTCCTGCGAGAATTGATTTCAAATTCCAGTGATGCTCTTGACAAGATCAGGTATGAATCGTTAACGGATCCATCCAAGCTTGACTCTGGAAAGGAGTTGTACATCAAGATCATTCCAAACAAGAACGACCGAACATTGACCATCATCGATACCGGTATTGGAATGACAAAAGCTGATTTAGTGAACAACCTTGGTACCATTGCTAAATCAGGAACCAAAGCATTCATGGAGGCTTTGCAGGCTGGTGCAGATATTTCTATGATTGGTCAGTTTGGAGTTGGTTTCTATTCGGCATACCTTATTGCCGATAAAGTTTCTGTAGTGTCAAAGCATAACGATGACGAGCAGTACTTATGGGAGTCAAGTGCAGGAGGATCTTTCACGGTTAGGTCCGATAATGGAGAACCGTTGGGACGTGGTACAAAAATTGTTCTTCATATCAAAGAAGACCAGTCTGAATACCTGGAAGAGAGTAAGATCAAGGAAATTGTCAAGAAACATTCTCAATTCATTGGTTATCCCATTAAGCTTGTGGTTGAGAAAGAACGTGAAAAAGAATTAAGCGACGACGAGGCTGAACCTGAAGCTGAGGAAAAGAAACCAGAAGAGGATGGCAAACCAAAAATTGAAGATGTTGAGGATGACGATGACGAAGAGAAGAAAAAGAAGAAGAAGAAGAAGACCATCAAGGAGAAGTACACTGAAGACGAGGAGTTGAATAAAACCAAACCTATTTGGACCAGAAATCCTGATGATATCACTCAGGAAGAATATGGTGAATTTTACAAATCGTTAACCAATGATTGGGAAGATCACTTGGCAGTTAAACATTTCTCCGTTGAAGGACAGTTGGAATTCAGAGCTTTGCTGTTTGTTCCCAGGCGTATGCCTTTTGATTTGTTCGAAAATAGGAAGAGGAAGAACAATATCAAGCTGTATGTCCGCAGAGTTTTCATTATGGACAACTGTGAAGAATTAATACCAGAGTACCTGAATTTCATGAAGGGTGTTGTGGACAGCGAGGATTTGCCTTTGAATATTTCCCGTGAAATGCTTCAGCAAAATAAGATTCTGAAAGTGATTCGCAAGAATCTTGTAAAGAAATGTCTTGAACTTTTTGAAGAACTTACTGAAGACAAAGACAATTATAAGAAATTCTATGAACAGTTTAGCAAAAATATGAAATTAGGAATCCATGAAGATAGTACAAATCGTAGTAAATTGGCAGACTTGCTCAGATTCTATACCTCTGCATCTGGAGATGAGGCGTGTTCATTGAAGGAATATGTTGGACGTATGAAGGAAAATCAGAAGCACATCTACTTCATTACGGGAGAAAGCAAAGATCAGGTTGCTAACAGTTCATTTGTAGAAAGGGTAAAGAAGCGAGGATTCGAAGTTGTATATATGACTGAACCCATTGATGAGTACGTCGTACAGCAGCTGAAGGAATATGACGGGAAGCAGTTGGTGTCTGTGACCAAGGAGGGGTTGGAACTTCCAGAAGATGAAGCTGAGAAGAAAAAAAGAGAAGATGATAAAGCAAAATATGAGAATCTCTGCAAGATCATGAAAACTATCCTTGACAACAAAGTAGAGAAAGTGGTTGTTTCCAATCGATTGGTTGACTCTCCGTGCTGTATTGTCACGTCACAGTATGGGTGGACGGCTAATATGGAAAGGATCATGAAGGCTCAGGCCTTGCGTGATACATCTACTATGGGATACATGGCTGCCAAAAAACATCTTGAAATCAACCCAGACCATCCCATTGTAGAAAGTCTTCGTGAAAAGGCTGAAGTTGACAAGCATGACAAAGCCGTTAAAGACCTTGTTGTTTTGCTGTTTGAAACTGCACTTTTATCATCAGGATTTACTCTTGATGAGCCTCAGGTGCATGCTGCTCGCATTTATAGAATGATCAAGTTGGGTCTTGGCATTGATGAAGAAGAACCATCGTTGGAGGAACAAAAGACCGCCGAAGAAGTGCCACCACTGGAAGGTGACAACGAAGATGCATCTCGAATGGAAGAAGTTGATTAAACTACAAAGGCAGCCTAGAGTACACTTTGTAATTTAATCCTCAAAAGACTGTTTTTTTTTTATAATGCCCACGTTTTATGTGGTGCTCTTATCTCTGCTTGTGTATCATACATAGCGATACATAATTTATCCTTAATATGTAAGACAGTACACCAAATATTTTTTGCACCTAGGTTCATTTCTGATTGTTATAATAAATTGAATTATAACAGTATTTGTAACTTATTCCCATCCTCTTAATGATTTAAAATATTAAACTAAGGTATTAATGTTTGAAAAGATTGTTCTATTAAAGTAATCATTGTGGTCAAGACTTGATTTTATTGCGCTATGAGGAAAAGAAGTACATTTTGATACAATTCCTAATGATACTATTATTATTTTCAAAATTCAATGATATCAGGTTTTTAAAGTAACACCTTTGTCCAACATTACTTGGAAAGAACAAGTTTATAAGGCATTTTGGTATTATGTTCAGAGTTGAAAACGTACATTACTATACATCGTACAGACAATTTTTATTAGCTAATTGTATCGTTACTCGTTTGCATTATTTTATATTGAGTTTAACATCAGTAAACATTCAAACCATTAAAAAGAAGTTAAGATATTTTAAATAACTTTAACACGTGAAATATACTATCAATTTCTAATTTTAATTTTACTAGAAGATCCAATCTGTTCATTTGATATTAAAATATTTTATTGTGTATGTACACTGGTGAATTGCTGGTGGATAACGTCTTCTTTCTGGATACGGTGCTATCAGTATAAGAGGGAAGGACTCACTACCACCAATGCACGTATACATAAGTTGTTTAAAATTTATTACATTTCTTTGAATGCGTGTACGTGCTCTCGACTTGCTTAGTTAAAACAAAAACAATGTCAGAGATCTTTTGTTAGTCGCCGGCATTGGAGGAAAAAGTTAGGTTAGGTTAAGAAATTTCGAAAGTATGTCAGGGAAACGCCATCTAGTCAGAGACGAGAAGTAGGTAACTACCTCGCCCGTAGTGCAGGTAAAATTAGTCTCGTATTGAATAAGACAGTTCCTTGCAAAGATTATGATGGCAAGTACCGGGTGGAAGGTGAGTGTTCAAAGTACACTTTCTGTCATAAAGTGTCAGTGAATGTTTTCTAGTTCCTTTAAAAATGAATTGGAAGATTCCTTGCCATAGATTGTGGTTAGAAATACATTATGTGTAGGTGGTGCAAGCTCATGTTCCGATGATAAAGTTTCGCAAAGGCGGCCTCAACAGAGGTAATGTTTATTTCATTCGTTTAAAATACCGTATTTAGAAAATACAATGAAAATTATTTGTTGATCGGTCAACAGCAGCAGTTCAATCTACGGCAGCTCCATCTGCAGGAACAGGGTCGAATGCTCCAAAAAGTACTAGTGGTGCTACTGGGCCCCGAGTTACTGTTTTGCCGACCATCGAAGACATTCAATTACCGCCCCGATTTCGCAGACGACCCATAGATGAGAAGGAAATTGAGTATATTAACGTAAGTTCATTAAGACCATAATTACCTGATATTGTAATAAAATATTTAAAAGTATCGATTGAGACCTTAAAGAATCTATTGAATGAACGACTGTGTGTCATTAAAGAAATGCACCAATATGAAATGGTATTTGTTATTGCAGGTATCGCTCGATGTATGATTTATCTCATTCTTGAAATTTATTAGCCTTAACTATAGTCTTATAGTGTTCGCATATATCAGAAAACATAATACTAATTTAAGAGAAACGATTCTAGTTACTGCATTAAATGACATGTTTAATAATTCAAAAAATGTGACGCTTATCCACAAATTAATTGACTTATTTCAGCGTGGAGGTCCAGAGTAACAAGTGGAAGCGATCTCTTTGCAGAAACTAAACAGGTCATGATTTCAAACATGTAACCGTCTATTATGTCGTCATATGTTTCCTGTAAATAAAGATGAAAGTTAGATGCTAATACAATGAACGTCTTATTTTTGTACCCCCCACGTTTATAAAGCAAGGTTGTACAGCTAGTCTGACACCGTCGATGGCCATCTATTTCTGGCTCATCCTCAAGCTCAGTAAAGTAGAAAATGCAGCATCAGCGAATCAGCATTGTGTTGGGGAAAACCGTTTAAAATTTCTTTTAAGCATGGCAGTATTAACAAAAATTCCGATGGAAACTAGATATTTTTTTAATTAAAACCACTTTACAAAGCCACAGATGCTATTTTAACTCGCATTCATTTCCCTGGAACAGTACTGTATATTACTATATGCTATAAATTACCTATGATTTTATTAGTACCGTAATAAAAATTAGTACTTTTTCTGTATATTCATTAATTATCAACGAGATGATAGAATGGATCTATTTCGTGTTGATGTGAGGCTTTAACGCGATGACTAGTGGATCCTATATGGCTAGGTACGGCCCTGCTCGCAGACGAAAATAGTAGAAAGAGCAGACGACAGTTCGCAGCTCGAGGGCTCTGTCGGTTTCGTCGTAGGCTGCACTGGGCTTTCTGTTGGCGTGTGTACTCGCGCAACTACGGTGCGAGTACGGGAGTCTATGTACAGAAGTGGAATCCCGTAGCTCTCGTACGACAATTCGATCGAAACCACGAAAGAGTCTCGAGCAACGAGTCAACGAACATGGCCGAAACGGCAGAATTCGGCCCTCGCAAAACGATCTTCATATTGGCGATAGTGGCAGGTTGCTTCGCCGTCTTGTGGCCTAAAATTTTTTACCCTTTGCTTACCGCCTCTGTCAACCCTCATCATCCACCTACGGAAAGTACCGGTAAGCCCGCTGAAATGCATATTAAATGAAATGTTATTTAATTCCTGGTAGTACTTGTCCCACCCTTGGATGCTTTACATTATTTGGGAACGTACAATGAATGAAATCTATAGACATGTGGTCTAGTATTTACAGACAGAAAGTACAAACTCGTGAGGTGGATTTGCAATGAGTTTACGACAAATGACATAAGTACATTATATCGTGTGTCGACATTAGTTAATCGAGTCTGAGTTATTCTATTCGATCGTGGATGTAAAATACTTTATTACATTCTTCTGTATTTGTAAACTTCTCACCAGGTTACAAGTGCTCTTCAACGGTTTCATTTTGTGATTATTTCATTAGCATGCTGCGATGTGATATTCGAGAGTGACATAAATACAGTGGATATTCTGCAAGAAATGTGTCAGAATATTTTGAGGCATCATCAAATCGACCCCCGGGTACGGGATGCCTTGAAGGTGAATAAATTGACGCCTCAAAGTGCAAGTTTATGTCGAGAGGAAGTCTTAGCCAGATGTGGCATAGACTTGTCGTCGTTTTTAGCAGAGAGAGAAAGATTGGGCAAATCTTATAAGCAAGTTTTGGAAGAGATTCGATCTTTTAATAGTTCCTTGTGTTTAAAAATGAATTTTGGAGTACCTTTATCACAACTGGGAATGCCACACCTTATCAGATACCATATTTTGATGCCCCACAGTAAGAATTGTTAAAACATTAAGTGTGGTTTACTGCTAATAACTAATCATAATTATTATATGCCCTATAACTGACTAACTGGACTATTTGGTTATTTGGAAATTCAGCATTAATAATTTCTTGTGTGCCGCTGATTTTGTTATTAATAAGTATTAATAGCAAAATATTAAATTTTACCATTTTGTATATATTTCTTCAATTACCAGAATTTTGCTTAATTATTAATAAAACATAATTTATATATGCTAACAAATGATATGGAAAAACTATAATCATTTTACAAAAGTAATATTCAAGTAGCTTTTGACTTACATTAGTTGAATAATAAAAATATTTTGAGATAGTTTATTCTAGAGTGAAAAAAACGGTACGTTAACACATGAAGGACTCATACGAGCAACTACTTATTTTGCACAATGCTAATTCACAGATTAATTAGAGCAGTTGAACTACGAGTAAACGTAGAGATACAATCCAAATTTCGATCGGGTCATCAGATATATATGGACTACAGGCTTATGCTGTCCATTTTCTATTGGCACACAGCCAAAAAAGCTGGTATAACGGCTGGCACTCAGGCTTTGGCTCACAGTCATAGTTCAAAATACATTCCTCCCATGTCCTCGGTCATTTGAATTAGATAATTTAAGATGACTCAGTGATGGCTTTAAAAGTTGGAATTTTCTTTTATTTCCCACTAGTAGTGCATTTATTTTAATATTTGCCTAAATCAGATAACAAAGCACCTGTATTTATTTAAATACTCTAACTGTCATTCTTGAATAAAATCTTTAACAATGAATACAAAATTCCATAAGCATGGATTAAAACATGTACATAATGCTTAATAATTTATGTTATAGTTTACCGTTGAACCTACATGTGTGTACATATAGCGGTATAAATAAACACTAACAATTGAAATGAAACGAGAATGGATTAAATTAAATTCAAATGAAGTTGCTTAATTAAATTCTAATGTTCATAGGTACCGTGAAACAAGAGCGGAGAACCCCACCTCATGCAGGAGGTTTACATCCAGCTATGAGGGAACGAGGACGAGCAATTCCATCATCCCATATTGTGCCGAAAGTAGAAGATAGACCCGAGCAAGTTGCCATTCCCAAGATGAGACCACCATTGGGTGGAGCTGGTCATGTAGTACCTGCTCCAAAAGGAAACAGTACCATGGGAATCATCATGCCTCTTTATACCTTAGGAATAATATTGTTCTTTGTGTATACCATCGTTAAGGTAATATCTATTAACCAAATAATAAGCAAAATGAAAGGCAAATGCGCCTAGTGCATTCTCGTATATATTTAAAGTGTACGATACTGTTGCATAGCTAAATATTTCTATTCATACTTTTGAGACTTTTTCATTATCATGTATACTTGTACATCTTGTGCAATAGTTTTAATATACCTCGTAGAACATTGCCTAATCATTTGATCAACATTAACAGGTAGTAAAGAAGAATTCCGACAGTGAGATCATATCCGAGTTTCCGAACATAGGAGCGGAGGCAGAGAAAGAGTTTCGAAAAATGGTGTTCAGTCCGGACGTATTCGCAACTGCAATGACCGGGTCGTTACAATATCGTAAAGAACGATCCGCCTCTCCCCTCAGACCTGCTCCGACGATAGAGGAGTTAAAGGACCGTAAGTAAGATACTCATCGTAAAATTTGTACATTTTATTACAGACATCTTATGCCACTGAGGTTTGCTACCGACATCAGCTCGGAATAACATTGTCACACGTAACTAAGCCTTTGCACTATACAAGCTCTTGTCCATCACCAAATCATACCATAAGGTTTGCGCAATTAGAACACACACGTATGTGTACTTTGGGACTATCCTTCCATGACATGACTAGACATACATGTAATGCACGATTGTACGGTGTGGACCTCTTTGGTGATGTTGTACATGTTGGGGCACTAGAAGCAGCAGGGGACATAGAGATAGATCAGCTGAGACGACGATTGGTCGAGACCGAAGCAGCTATGGATCGAATCATCTTTCACATGGGCTTATCACGTTCGGTAATGCGTAGCTCAAGCCCACAGCCAGAAACCAAGGTTTGCCACATTACTTTGGAGCAATGTCGATCTTTTAAATTTCTTAGAATTTAGACATGTGCACGCTGCTGTGTTCTGGTTGCGTTTCAAGCTTCTCCCATCCCAAAGTTTTTCATTTTCATTTATTTGTTTCGTTAATTTGTAGTTGTCGAGTTACTTTAGATTTTATTACTTTATTGGAAACAGCTGCTGAAAGGTTACTAAATTCTGATTGACCAGTTAATTTTAAATGACAGTTATCGGACATGTAAATCTGCTGTCCAAAGTGAATATTCGTTGTAAACAAATTCTTAATAAAATCTGTTGATTTAAGGAAAGAGAAATTATATGCTGTAATTTTACATTTTAAGTAGTAGACGAGGCTCCAAAGTTCAACGGTCTGGCAGGGATTGGGCCCAGTTTGAAGGTATATTCCTTCCCTCCGAGGTTAACTCTAACAAAAATAACCATGATTTTTTAAAAATTATATAGTACCCAATATGTTTATTTCTCTTTGTAACATGCAAGTTCTTGTATCTAAGAAATGTGTGTGCATATTTTCAAATACGACTTTATAAGTTGGCAGTCTAATATATGTTTAGATAAGTTGTGATAACATTAATCGATTTAAAACGCTGTACCATGAAAGTTATGACGTTTCAAATAAACCGCAATGTGAAGGTGAAATACAATTAGTTGAATGTATCAGGTACAGTCTGCATAGTTAGGTATAAATTCAGCATATATGACAATTTGACAAACTCTATAAATGATTTATGCTTTATAGCTTTGTTTGATTAATATTTAATTTACATTGTTTTGAGTTTTTTTAGTGCGTTTTCTTTTTGAAAAAGTGCATGAAGAAACTATTTTTATTATTTGTTTCAAATATAGAAGTACATAGGCTTGTACATTTTATCATAGTGCCAGTGAACAAATTTGTCAAAAATGACTTAGTGAATACATTCCTATTGAACATTCTATAGGAGCCAATACAAAATAAACGGAGTTATTAAAAAATTACTGAGTTTAAATGGACTGACTGTTTTGTTATTATCAAGTTGAATCTTTTGGAAATCTTCGATATTGATTTTTATTGGTTTCTATAGTAGATTTTCAGTAGGGTTGTATTTTTAAAACTTAACACTAATTTTCTGTGTGACTTTGTAATTGTAGGAGGATACGGTTGATAAAGAATTATCTAGCAAAGAAGATACAGAATTAGAAGAAATAGAGGAATCATCGCCGACAGTTAAAGTTGTTGGCATGGAAATGACAGCTGCTTGTGAAGGAGGTCAAAGGGGCAGTCGACCGACTACCCCTCTTACACCAGTTTCGCACAGGTACAGATGTGTAATGACATCTTGAAACCAATCTGTTAATTTTTTGGAATATATTTAACTTAATCTGGGAATTTATGAGAAGTACTGGCAGGAGGAAACATGATTGTCAGTTATAACAAAAATAATAACTCTTATTCCAGCCACGTTGAAAGGGAAAAAACACCACCAAGGCCAATATATTTAGAAGGCGCTTTACCTCCACAGTGTGAACTTCTTGTAACAGATTCTGAAACACAAGCAGAAAAGCCAGAGGAAGATGTGGAAGCTCCGGTAGTTCTATCAGGCAAAATGACCCTCTCCCTCATCAGTCTCGACCAGATTGCAGCTGTAAGGAAATATTAGAATTACCAACAGAACTCAAATGACTTCATGGGGCCTTGTTTTATTTGGTGATTCTTTCATTCAGTTAATTGTGTTTCCATTTCCTTAATTATTAACATATAACAGTCACAACAAATTACAATAAGTTAAAGTTATAAAAACGTAAAGAGCGCAAAAGCCAAAATTAACTACAAGTAGTATTACACATATTGTGTGTAATTGGTACTGATATTACTGGCGACATAGCGATTTATAATGTGCAATTATTGTAATTTGTTGCTCATTTCTCGTGTTACCTTAATTTAAAATCACGTATCTTGTTCGCTTCTTAGTTAATCACGTTCATTTCAAATTAGTAGCGCAATTCACATTATTTTAGGATTTCGTATGAGAAATGTTTGAAGTACGTAATCGTTATTTTTTTTATATTCTTTGCGTTCATTGATCAACTCCCTCCTATTCTAATTATTAATATAAAGTTGTCACCTAAAATTAACGTCACTTATTGTGTGTGTAGTTCAATATCATTTAACGAAGTAAAAACTGTATTAACTCACTAATATCAGAGGCTTAATTCCTTCAAGAAGTTAGCAATTTTTTACAATTAATAATGTGAATGTTCATTTAACATTTAACAATTTACGTTACAAGTAATAAAATCTAAATTGTGCATCATTGTGAAGGAATTGGTTTCTGGAAATTGTACGATGAATAATACGAATTAATTTGAACTATTTACATTGCATGCAATGCACGATTATTAATTTTTTTGTGAAGAATAACAAAGTGAAACATTGTTGTATTGTATCAATATTAAGGAATATCTACTTTGATATTAGGAAACTGATGACAATGGCCTGCAAGAACCGTGTCAGTTTGACAAACATGAACATGAATTAGAGGAATACGGTGACAAAGGAGAAACTAGCGAAGAAGAAGAAGTACAGGAAGAAAACAAGAAAAGTGAAGGTAGCAGCGATGACAGCGACGATGAAGATACGACGGAAGAAAGCGATAGCGAAGAAAATGACGTCCTTGATGCAGAGGAAAAGGTAGCTGAACAACATTCAGATATAAATGCAAGAGAAGAGAATACTAAAATAACGGAAAATCAATCTTTACTTCAAAATCACTACAAAAGTGAAAACAGTAGTGAAAATGATGAAAGTGAAGAAGAACAAGATGTTGAAGATGAAAGTGTAGAAGAGACCAGTGAGGAAGAAGAAGAAGGAGAAGAAGAAAGGGTCGTGGGGGTTGAGGAAAATGACGAGGAGGAAGAAGAAGAAGAAGAGGAAAACGAGGATAATGAGAGGGAGGACGAGGGTGAGGCTGAGGACGAGGACGAGGACGAGGACGAGGACGAGGGAGATGAAGATCAGGATAGCGACGAGGAGGACGAAGAGGAAGACGAAGACGAAGACGAGGATAGTGAAAAAGTTTGAAGAAAGTATAGGAATGAAAGATTTGTAAAGGAAAATCGTTGGTTTCTAGTTTTGCAAACCAAAATGATGAACGTTAAATTTTCTAATAGTTTAAATCCTTACAGGTTAAAAAATAGTTACTCTTTTTTACAAATCAAAGTGAATAGACATATGAGAATATTGCATTTTCCAAAGTCTAAGGTATAGTTTTGTCCGATCGGAGATAACCACGAGATTCATCATACTTCATTTTTACTGCAGAGCATTTTGTCAAAGTATATGGTACCGTGATCCATCATTCAAAATTCGACACTTCATATATGGACAATTCACATCTACTTTATAATATCTTTTTAAAATTGCTTAAGTTATGTGTATACTTTCACAGAATTCTAATTCCATGCCATATCTTAAAAACACAAAAGCCTTTTTTTAACTCCAACACTTTGTTGTACATTTATCACACTTCCACGCGAGTTGGCCTTAGTAGTTAATATAAAGTGTATACATAGCATTAAAGTATACCAATATGAAAAAATTAAAGTTATATAGTATGTAATTCATAATCTTACTCCGTATCATGATAATTGATAGTTTCTTACTGTGCGTTTCTGCTCAGTTTGGAAAAATTACACAACGATGGTACACAATGACAAGGATGTAACAGCTCTGAAGTTATAACCAGCATGTGCAAAATATCATGAGATCCAAACAACTTGATGCAATGGCCAAAGCTAATTAATTGCTAATAAATGAATATTGCGTTTACTTTTTGTATTATTGTCTAATATTTCCTTATCGTACTAAAAATTTTCAAAATACATCTTGTTTGCTTTTCATCTTTCACACGTATATTTATAATTTAATATTAAATTACTGTAAGACTATATTCTATTTATAATTTCTCGACAACAGTTTTCAAAATATGTTAGATGAATTGTAAAGATGACGAAGGATGGTAATCCGATTCAGAATCGATTTTTCTAAGAGAATCGAACATCCATACAGCACAGGTATATTTTCTCTGAAGGTGGGACAACGATGGAGAACCGACCATCACTTATCTTCGTCGCACCAATGCTTACTGGACCGCGTGCGACAAGGATGCAGAGACATCTAAATCTATCTCTCTGGAACAAGCTGGCCGTGTGTTAATCGTGGCGAGCGTACAGTTTACTATATATGTCAGTGGTTTTAACCTGCTGTAAACTTTGGTTAACATAAATGTAGAACCGAACGTTATAATCCGGTATTTATGCCCGATTTCACAATTCGAGTTAATCGAAGTTAAATCACGGTTTAAATCTGCTGTAAACCACTTAAACCTCAATTAACTTGGGATGTGGAACTGGGCCTTAAATGCCGGTGGAAACATAATAATTGTTTACAGAAAAGCCACGTGGTGCCTCCCATGTATAGCATGTATATGCATGTGATGTACATACATGCATCATATTGCTCTGTTGCTCTTTGTAGCTGTGTAAGAGCACGCGATAGTTTGATGGTTTCGTGTTTGGTTAATAACTTAAACGAAATCCTTTGAAATCTTTCAAAGGAATAATTGCTTTCATTAAAATTCGTTGAAGTTTCACGAATTATAAATATGAAGAACTTAACAGTGCACTGTCAAAGTATTCACAACTTAAATGATTTAAGAAACCATGATCTTCCTAGTGTGCTGAAAAGGGGGGTTATGTGTTGTCACAATCCCGATGCCGACAATTTATACATATTTGAAAGGAACAGGTTGTATGGAGTCTCAACTAATGTTACTCTCGGAGTAACCTTAGTTCAAATTGATGTAAGCGAAGATCTGACACCTGTTGGACTAGAATACTGTAGTGTGTCGCAACAACTTTACTGTGCATACGATTCTGGAGATGTAGCCAAAGTGTTTACCAGAGAAGAACTAGAATGTGAAGAAATTGTGAAAGTAAATGGAGGATTGCGATGCATAAAATTAAGTCCAGACCATGAAATTCTTATTTTGATCACTCTTAATGACACTGTCATTACAATGACATCAAGTTTCCATGTAATTTCTGAGGTAATGTTCATATTATTATTAAAGGTGTAATGTTAACATGTTTTCTTACGTGAATGATTATCCTTTATTTTGAGAACATTTTTTATTAAGGTAGATTTATTCTTGAGCTTAAAGAAGTATTCAGATGACATCAGTTAAATCACATCTGATTGCAATGTTCATTAGTGCATTATACTGAATTTACATACATTAATATTGTAGGTTGACTTATATGCTGCAAGTTTTGGAAAAAAACAATTTATAACTGTAGGATGGGGAAAGAAGGAAACACAATTCCATGGATCGCAAGGAAAAACTGCAGCTAAAGAAACATCAGTTATAACAGGAAAAACTGAACTAGATGATGGTACTATCAGAATTACTTGGAGGGGAGACGGAATGTTATTCGCTGTTACTTTTCTTCATAAAGATACCGTTATGCGGCAGTTTAAAGTTTTTAACCGAGAAGGCATTCTACAGTACACCAGTGAGCCTAGTAGTGGTTTGGAACAAAATATATCTTGGAAACCATTTGGCAACGTAATAGCATTGACCCAGAGACTGAATGAAAAGCACGTGGTTGCCTTTTTTGAAAAAAATGGTTTGAAGCACAGGGAATTTACTCTATCTTTAGACGTAGAAAAATTTGTGGTAAGGCATTAATCTTTATTTTTTATGTATTGAATATAAATATAGCACATGTGAACACTGGGATAAACTATATTATAAATGCCTTCTGTGTTTATATTAGTCTTTACATATAATTCATAAACTGCAATAAATTGTACAGGATATGCATTATTTACAGGTAAAAGACTTACTTTGGTCATTGGATGCCGAGGTATTAACAGTCTGGTGTGAAGAAATAAAAACTAAAAATATAATAGTACAATTATGGACCCAAAATAATTATCATTGGTATCTGAAACAATCGATTGTATTTTCAACACAGAACTCTCCAATTTTCTTAACTTGGCACGCAGCACCCAAAATTGGAAAAAAATTAATACTATTGACATCAAAAGATCTTATAACATACTCATTTCGTTGGGTTATTGATCATAGCAAAGGAAAAGATTTGGATGATAAAGCCATAGTTGCAGTTATTGACAATGACAGAGCTTTGCTTACAGCCTTCAGATTAGGAATCATTCCACCACCAATGATGCATCAGGCATTACAAACTGATGAACCAATAAATACAGTAGTTTTTCCACCCGGAAAAACAAAGGAATCATTGACAAATTCAAATATGATTTGTATTTTAAATAATCAGAAACTACTATTTTATGTACACAATGTATGATTTAAATGGATCATTAAGTTGTTCAATTTATAACAAAAAGATAATGATGTTTAACCATGTCGATATACTTTACAGGATTCAAACAATTTAGAATATATGCATGTCAATTCATACGATATTGAATGGGGCGAATCAACAATAATTTCTGAAGATGTTCCTTACTCAATGCATCATTTTTTATGGTTAAAAGATGATACTCTTTTATGCTCTGCTTCTTCGAGCAAGGGTTGTTACTTCTGTAATCTACAATTGGATGGAATGAATGTCTCAAAGGAAGGACGCGTCACAGTTCGGTAATTATCTTAAATGAGTTTGATCCCATATTATGATAAAGATATTTTAATTATAATGTTTATTTGTTTTATTTCTGACATATTTTTCTCTTCTTTTAGAAAAACATACATTTTAGATGGCTGCATTCAACACATTGTTTCCTGCCCTGATCTGCAGACAGCTTATATCGTTGTTGAAGGATCTGTTTTTAAATATTCAGAAGATGAGGGCATTTGTCCCACCGACATAAAATTGGATGAATTCACCCACCAAATCGAGGTTATTGATATTGGCTCTAGAAATGTTATAGTATCTCTTACGAGCAGAAACTGCTTGTACATTGATGGAAAGGAGGCTGCAAGCAATATATTAAGTTTTTTCGTACATTCGGAATTTCTTCTACTTACAACTTTACAACACACATTAATATGTGTTACACTTGATGACAGAGGATTTGACCAATTATCGACGCAAGATTTGACCGTTAAACCGTGGAAAGAGTTCAAGGAACAATCCTCGATAGGTATGTAATATTTTCTTAAAAAATATTTCACAACATAAACGTTTTACATGCTGTAATTGTTAACAGGTTTGAGTATGAGACGTGTAGAAAGAAGTTCTAGTTTAGTAATTGCCATTCCCAAAGACTGCAAAGTAATTTTACAAATGCCACGTGGAAATCTGGAGTGCATACAGCCTAGAGCTTTATCATTATACATAATAGGGAATCATCTTGATAATCTTCAATATTTTGCAGCATTTGAGCTTATTCGCAAACAGCGCATCAATTTAAATTTGATAGTAGACCATGACCCGCGTTTATTTTTGGAGAATGCAACAAAATTTATAGATGATATAATTGAACCAACCTGGCTAAGTTTCTTTTTGTCAGAATTGCAAAATGATGATGTCACTGTGACAACTTATGCAACCTCGTATCCACTTCGCTCTCAAAAATCAGGAACAATAATTGAAGATCCTTATGCGGGTACAAATAAAGTTCAACGAGTTTGTAAAACTCTTCTAGACATTATGATAAAAAAACCAGATGCCAATAAATTGATACCACCGATACTTACTAGCATGGTTAAACAAGAAAATGGCTTAGAAATAGCGCTAAAAAAAATTAAATCAATAAGAGAATCAGAAGATAAGCCCCGTGGTAGTCTGGAGAAGCGTAAATCTGAAGAAGCATTAAATTATTTGTTGTACCTAACAGATGTCAATGTACTATATGATATAGCTCTAGGGATGTATGATTTTGAAATGACAATGTTAATAGCATCCAAATCGCAAAAAGATCCCAAAGAATATATTCCATTCCTAAATGACTTAAAAAAATTGGAGAGTAATTACATGAAGTACTGCATTGACAAGCACCTAATGCGGTATGAGTCGGCATTGGCACATATTTCTAAACGACCTGATAAATTCAGCGAATGTTTAGATTTCATTCACAATCATAGCCTATATGTACAAGCACTGCAGTTATTTAATAGAGACAGTAAAGAGTATCAAGAAGTGGCTAAAATATATGCAGAATTTTTGTCAACTAAGATGAAACACAGAGAAGCTGGAATCATGTTTAGTAGAGCTGGGGACCTCAAAAACTCTTTGAACGCTTTTAAGTTAGCCAGTTGTTGGCAAGAAGTGATCATTGTATCGATTCAAATGGAATTAAGGTAAGAGCATAACACTAATTCAAATCATTTGTGGTAAAAATGTTTGCCTGATATATTACTAAGAGTATAGGTTGCCAAGTTTCTTTTTAATTATATAGTTATTATTTGTACTTATAAACGTAATGTTAATTGTAGTTCCATAGAGTTATCTAAAGTACTCGAAGACTTAGTATCGCAATTAAAATATGCCCGGCAATATAAGGAAGCTGCAGAAATATTGATAACGCATTTGCATAAGACGGAAGATGCTGTCGCTATGCTTTGCGAGGGTAGGATGTGGCAAGATGCACTTAGGTTATGTTACTTCGAACACCGCTTAGATCTTATCGGTAAGTCTATTTAAAAAATCATAATGTTCTTCCTAATTATAATTAAAATAATTGGTTGGGTTTATTTTTACAGAAACACGCGTAAAACCTAGAGTTCAAGATCATACTCAATATATAATGTCACAGATAGAAAAGGCTGGTGAAGATTTCCAGAAACATAGAACCAGACTTGCAAAGGTTAGAGAAGAAAAATCTAAGCAAGAAATGCAAATACATAATGGCCTTGATTCAGAGCGCGAGTCGGCAATTGGAAGAGATATCAGCGATTTACTCAGTGATACAAGCAGTATTGCCGGAACAGTTACTAGTCATGGATCGACAACATCAAAAAGTTCTGGGTAATTAATATATCATCCTAATGTCAACGTAGTATGTGATAAATTTCACTTAATTACCATTATTAATTGCCACTGAATTCTTTGCAGAAGAAGTTATAGATCTAGTAAAAATCGCAGAAAGCAAGAAAGAAAACTTCTGAGCACTAAAGAGGGCAGTGCCTTTGAAGATTTTGCGTTATTAAGAACCCTACATCAGACGGTGATTGCTGCCTATGAACAAAGAGGTTGGCTTTATTTTATTAAGTTGATGTATAACTTCGTGCGTTTCTTTCTCGGTCAAATTGTTGAGGAAAACGCACGAACTTACGCATCGACCTAATAAATAACCTTTCTATAACTTTTTAAATATTCGCAAACGTTGCAGTTCGCAAAGTCTGGCGACAATGGACGAGGGTTATTCCTGAAGGCCACGACAAATTTATAGACATACTATCTTTCATTTGAATCAGATAATTACTTATATGATTATAAATTGTCTGAGTTTCTTTTTAGATGAAGTGGAGCAAATAGTAAGAACGCTGTTGCATTTTAATGAAGACGAACATGCAGGAAAGCTTCAAAAGGCAATGTGCACATTTTTAAATATGATTGAAATTGGCAAGTTGGAAATTTGGAGTCAACAACCTTTAGGAATTGCTCCTGAAATAGTAAGTTTTTTTTTAACTCGATCATTTATCGTAAATGTTCAAATATGTAAAAATTAATTCATCATTACTGTTTATTATAGACAAAAGAAAGGTTTAATAACATGGAGAATCATAGCCAAAATAACATACCACAAGGGTTAATAGGTATGTTTTAATTCTTTTATATAGCACATTTGTAACATTTCCCCTCATTGTTAGCCACTCTATAAAAACTGTTTTGTAGATGTCCACTAATGAATATGCATTTCATTAACAATTGTTACTTTGAGAAATGTAGTCAAATTATATAAGATATATTATTGGACAAAATATTCATGTGATAAATTGTTTCAGAACCTTTCATGTTATACGCTCCAGTAACAAAAGCACGTGATTGGAAATTGAATATATTTTCATCGATATCCGAAATGACCAAGCAAACGTAATCATTTCATAATAATATGCAGTAAAATGAAATAAACTTATGCATTTTCATAAAGTTATGTATGTATAGGCCAATTGAAATATACGAATTTGATATTAAAAAAGGAGAATAAGTCAGCCTTAAAGGGGAATGGTACTCGAACAAATTCTGAGTTGACCGTGCTGCCACGTAACGGTAAGCAGTGGAAAAGCTTGTGACGTTGCAAAAGCGCTATTACTGTGCCGTGTCGTGGTAGTCACGGCACCGTAATTGTGGTACGATTCAGACCAGGAGGAGTAATCAATGAATAAAGCGAATTTTCTGCCCTCGTACCGTCGTTTCCGCAAAGTTCTAGCAATATATTAGTTGCCGCTTGCTCCGGTAGCGCTGCATTCGTCTGCAGTGTAGCAGTCGCCGCCGGCGTCCTCTCCGCAATGCGTTTTTCGTTGTGGGCCGCGAACGATTGGCTGTGCTTCAATTCATTATTACAGGAAAATTATGCGAGTCCATTCAATTCGGAGAAAAGTTTCATAAACAATTGATTTCGCACTTTCATAACACTTTGAAAGGAAGAAAAATTCACTACACATATTGGTCGTTAATAAACAACATATACTCCGTTCAATGGCCCGAATTCATGAAAAAAGATCAAAGTAGTAGTAGTAGTAGATACTGTTTATTGGCATGTATATTCATACTTAACTCACTGGTTAATTTCGTGTATATGTACATATATCTCAATTCATGAACTTGTGACTAAGGTGTAAAGTCGACTTTTTGCTGGGATAGTTTAGAAGAACCAACGACATATTTTCATATTTCAAAGTGAAATGCACATTTGCTACAGCACAACGAATGTACATGGTTTAGCCTTGGTCTAACATTTTGTAAATACATAGAAGAAAAGGTTTTAAATAAATCGTAAATATGAAGTGATCTAAAGCACGTAAATTGCATGAATTCTTTTTCTAATAGTGCCTAAGCTCGCGCAAGTCCATTAAACTACTTCAAGATATTCTTATATTATTCACTGTGAAATAAAACGAGTGCTTAATGCAATATCGTGACATGTAGGTGTACTATCATAAGCAAATTTGTATCATCATATGTTAAAAGAATTTTTTGCACATTTCAAAATGAATAACTTATAACGAACATCAGCCAATAACATTCGTCACAGTACAATTGGAAGAGCATTTTTAAACTACTTTCAAAAATCACACGTTTATTTACATCAATTATATTTAGTCAAAGTATTAATAATTTAAAAACACTCCTTTGCAGATATTAGTAGATACTAGAATTTATATCAGATTAATAAAAATTATATTCAAATGTAGAAAATTGTCGACGTTATTGTAAAATCTGTTCAATGTACTTTACATACCATGCACATACGAACAATTACTTGTGGTTCAAAACCAACACATTTGCGTCATTACCATACAGTAATAAATACGTAAAAAGCATTACATACTATCAAGTAGTATTATTGTATTTACTGATAAATTTCATTGGTGAATTGGAAATAAAGAAAAATTCAGCACTAATTTTTATTTCACAGCGAACATGTATATTTAAAAGAACATTACTTTAAAATTGATTAATGAATCACATTCCTGTACGGGAATTTTATCATATTTCATGTGTCCATTCCCAGGCAGTATTTATCCTCTACTGGAACAATGAAACAGTCCCTTTAAAGAATGTTGTAATATCAGTACTATCAAAATGGGATACTAACGTATGTATGTGTATACGCGAGCTGGAACACTGACCTGTGTTTCACAGGCATAGTAAAACATTTGTAATGCGCATATCAAAAACAAAAACAGCTTTATAATTATCTACCGATAAAAACTACATATTAAATATCTATTATAAAAAAAGTTGTGTATGTAATTATTCCAATTATGCATGATACTATTGTTCATCATATAATGTAGTCTAGAATAAAACATTCAGCAGTATTACCTGAGTCGATGTTTCTTCATTTGCTTTGTCATGCTCACAAAACCATTCTGTACGTAGTACACCTAAATACGTCCCATGTCTACCTACACTTTATCCGAATGCGGAGATTAATTTCAAAAAGTTTCTTGTTTGCGAATGTCAAATATTATTGTTACGTGCAATTATGCTTTGGTTGATAATGATTTGTACACTATAGAATTTTCCTATGTGTACAACTTACAAGTAATATAATTTAGAAAAGGAGTAAACAATAATTTTTACGCGACTGTGACATTGTACAAACAAATAACTCATTGACAATTCCTATATATCATTCTCCTGTATATAATCTTCGTTCTATATTACAGAATTTACTCTTGCCTGTTTTCTGTCGCTAGTCTTATCATACTTGGTGACTTCAGCTCTGCACGTAAGCTGATTTTCATGTGCTTTGCTTGCATGTACTTCTTCCTAACTGCTTGGTATTTGCCACTATCAGCACTGAAGATAATTGCAGCAATATTGCGTACAACTGGCAGTATGTCTTCTTTGGTGAATGAACTATAGTGAATTAAGGTGTTTGTCCAGATAAGTTTACCTTCGTCTTCTTCATTACCGATTACACTGTAATATAAATTAAATTAGTCAATAAAGGAAGATGTTATAGCACGTTTAGAAATATAATATATTAACGACATACAAGAATGAAAGATATATTGCTGCAGCTGCAATGAGACTTGGTGGATAATGACACATCTCATAACACACCAAACATTGTTCCAAAAAGAACTTGGCCATCGTATGATGTACGGGAAGCGCCTGAAATGTAAAAGAAATTCAGTACTTTATATCCCTTGTTATATGACTGAAGGCTTTAAAACGACCACATACTCTTCCTGCTTTGCTGTATCTACGAAGGAAATGAAGGGGCAATGGTCGTCCGAAGGAATAATCAAGAGTCCTTAAAATTAACATTTCCATTTGCAGTATTTCCGTTTTCGAATATGCGTTATCTGTGATGTACACGAAGTCACTTATGTCAGGAGAGTACATCTCTTCATATTTGCTGGCTAGGAACATGGCTGAGACACCAACCAACTGTAGCCTCTTTCGATCGATCGTTCTGTATGACTATTGATTTCAGAATTATTTATGTATGTTATTTACAATAACAAAGAATAATGATATAATTTATAGTAGTAAATTTAATACGACAGTTGTAAAAGTATGCCATGTAAATTTACAATCATGGCTATATTGCACTTTGAGTATCACTAGTTTGAGTAAACATTATTTCATTTTTACTTTACTTGTTAAACCCATCTTTGTCAGTTTGTTACAAAATAATATATAGAAGTAATTAGATACATTATACAAGAAAATATTTACAAACCTGTAAAAAGCGATCAATTATGGAGATTGTGAGATAAAGTGTCTCTTGCATCAGGCGAAATTGTTGATGTACTTCTACCAACCAGTCGACAAGAACACTTCTCATTTTCGGCGTGACTTCTTGTCCTGTTAAATATCCCTTTTTTATGGGAAACTCTTTTTCCAATGTCCTCAAATATGTATATATGTCATTGCTATAAATTGAAACTAGTATAGGGTTTCCCTTATCCTCTTCGTCAATATCTTCAATCTCTAATAAATCTGACGAGAACGACTCAGCTTCTTTTTTCGGTGGGACAACAGTTGTAGTAATTGCAACAGGAACAGTAGCTTTAACTACAGGCTTAATTACTTGTACAGGTGGTTTTTCTGGAACCTTTTCGAGTTGCTTAATGGGTTGTTTATTTACAGGTTTCTTAACATTTTTAGTTAATAAACTAGACCTGTTAATTGGTGCAACACCTCGTACAATATTGACTTTGTTCCCAATTTCACCCAAAGCAGCTCTTTTAGTCTGCAGTGGAACTGCATTGACTAAAGCTTTTGTGTTTTTCACATTTTCTTGATTAATAATATTCTGAAATTATATTAAGATGACNCAAGTAAATCAAATAGTAAGGCATGATCTAATATTTAATAACAGAGTCGTATTTAAAATTTAAAGCATTCACAGTTAACTTTTACTTTTCCCTTTGTAAGCCATTATTAATGTAACGTCCTAAACATTAAATGCTAATATTTCATCATTTAACTGAAAATTTTCCTTAAATTCGTTTCTTCATTATTCATAATATACTTCAATAGTACCACAAATAAACCCGATAACATTAATAGTGACGAATAATAACGAAGATGGGCCGTTTTTGCAGGTCGTGTTATGAGCCCGCGTACCGCGATGGGGGGTGACTTTCAATGTCAAATATCTCTATTAGATTAAGATTGGAAAAGGTCCTTCTCAACGCTAATATCGTTAACTGTTAGGAAATTATAGTGATTCCAAAATAAGTAACTGAAGTATGCGTTAAGATTTCGGAGTAACTCTCGAGGTACGGATCTTTAAAGAAGCCTTGGGCATTTAAACGTGTCAACGTTCCGACCGTTACATCTCACCCCCTCGGATTCTGGCTCGATTGTTTAAAGAGATTTATCCCGCAGAATAACGAAAAAATGATACAACTCCTACCGTATGTGCCGTCCGATTTCTCAAGGCCATCGTCGAGTCTTAAAATTGCCACTCTTGCGAAAATATTACTTTTCAACGGAGTCTGAGCTTTTCCTTGAACGGCAGGCAACGCACACCTCGCTGTAACGACTCCGTCGGTTTGAAATTGTTTGGCAATCACCGGAAGCTCCCCGTTGCGAAGTGCCAGCAGGAAGAAAGCTACCATTGGTGTAGAGATCGTCCAGCTCTGATTGGTCAATGAAAATTCCGTTGTGGCGGCAGTTTTTGAATCTTCTCTCCTTAAACTTCCTTCAGTATTAAACAGAAAATGCTCTCAAAATATTTTTAACATTTTAAATATACTTCATTTTCGTTGATTCACTTCATTTAAAAGTTTCAACTTAAATACATACATTAATAAAGATTAATATTTGATACTGACGATACAACAATTTGAAATCACTTTTGTGCTTATCGACACTTCATTTTTATTGACATTTAATTGAAGAGTTGGATTTTTCGAAATTTCCTTATTAATCTAATTTACTCTGTTCAAATTTTCGTTATAATTCAGCAAAGCGTTGATTACTATATTGCTGAAAAAGGTAAAACAGAGATATCAGTGCTATCAGTGTATGAATCTGAAGTAGGTTGGTACATTTACAGTACTGACTCTGTGCAGTTCTATGAACCTCTCGAATTGCTTTTAATGTTGGAATTGTAGTCAGAGAAAATACCATGTCAATTACGTTAGATATTCGGTTGAAACGAGCTAGTAAAATATATCACGAGGGGGTAAGTTTTTATTTGAACGGTTTATTTCATTTTAATATCTGCTATATAGGTTATGTTTTAGGAAACAGTGGCAGGACTTATTTTGCTGCATACCAATTCTGACATAAAACATGATGGTGTTTTTCTTACAATGGAAGGATCTGTAAATTTACAATTGAGTTCTAAGAATGTTGGAATTTTCGAAGCATTCTACAATTCTGTAAAGGTTTTGTAAACAAAGTAGAAATATGTTATTACGTAGTAGTATATACAACATTTAAATATTTCAATAATGTATTCATGTATATTTTTATATTTTAGCCCATTCAGTTAGTGCAATATACATTAGATGTTTTACCATCTGGTAAAATACCAAGTGGGAAAACAGAAATACCATTTGAACTGCCATTAAAACCTCGTGGTAGTAAACTGCTCTATGAAACTTACCACGGAGTATTTGTTAATATACAGTATTTGATTCGATGTGACATAAAGCGGAGTTTTCTGGCAAAAGACTTAAGTAAATCATTAGAATTTATAGTAGAGGATAAATTTAATCCACAAACGGAGAAGCACCACAGCAAAATTGTATTCTTCAAAATAATGCCAGAGTCATTACAAGCTACCAGAGAACGAACCAATGTACCTAGGTTTTATATAACTGGGCGTTTAGATTCTTTGTACTGTAAACTATCAGAACCATTGACTGGAGAGGTATGTTGATATGAGGTTAAAGATTACAGAATATTTAAGAACTATGTAATACCTTATAAAACATGTCAATCATTATTGTGTTTAAATACATACTATATTAATGTATTTATTTTAGCAGTCATTACAGTCTTAAAAACTGTAAGAGTAGATAATTTTAATATATTGGATAACAGGCAATATGTAGAATAGAAATAATATGAACTTTCTTTTTAGTTAATGATTGAACAGACTGAAATTCCGATAAAGTCTATTGAATTGCAACTGGTGAGGGTAGAGACGTGTGGGTGCGTTGAAGGATATTCACGAGATGGTGAATACAAAAATTAAATTTTGAATAATTGCTGCCTGTTAATATTCTTTTCGTTACTATAACTTATATTATTTTAAACAGCTACAGAAATACAAAATATACAAATTGGAGAAGGAAATGTATGCACAGGACTTGGCATACCGATTTATATGATATTCCCACGATTATTTACATGCCCTACACTTAGTACAAGTAATTTTAAAGTTGGTAAGGAAATATCGAAGATGATCATGAAATTGTATGACTAGAGTGACATATTTTGTTAAGAAAATAATTTTGAAATTTGCAGAATTTGAAGTCAACTTAATTGTTGTATTTGAAGACGATTATTTGGTGACTGAAAACTTTCCTATCATCCTTTCTAGACATTAGTAATACAAGAAAATAAAATATTAACACTGTTATTGTTACTATCAAATTACCTAATTGGGAATTATAGTAAATCAGAATAATATTAAGTATTTAGTACATTGCTATTATAATACTGGTAATTATGTGCGTTTGTATAAATTTATATTAAAAATAGTGATACTTAAATTAATTTCTTCAAGTAAGGTATTTAATATATATGTATACATTCTGTACATTCTGAAATTATATTAAGATGACAATTTAAAAATTAAGTAATTCATTACTTAGTAATTGAAATGATAATAATGATAAATCATTGTAACACCCGAATCAAATTTATAGTTATTGCCTTTCATATTGCATTTAATTCCAGTCCACACCATGAGAAAATTAAAACCAGTCTATTTGTAAGAATGGATTTAAAAATATCAGCAATGACCTGTACACATCGCCATTAGATTGTATTTTTTTTTTTAAGCAAAATTTAAAAGAGAAAAACATTCCATATTTTATTTCAAATGTACTATTCATGTTATACAGAAAACAAAAAAATGGTTTTCTAATATCCATTTTAAAGATATGCTTTTCTGGTAAAGGCTTTTTATCGATAAACATTAATATAGGACCTGAGGTCCTATAAAAAATTNCACAAATTAAAGACCATAAGCGTTTCATTAAAATCCTGCTTTTTGAATAAGGAGTCTATAGTATTTCTCAACATGTTTGTTATGAGTAAGTCCAACTGAAGTTAACAACACCACATAACCGAGTATAAATGTTAGCAGTTTGTGTCGCTTAAACCATGATGTTAGTCCTTTGCTTTCCAAATCTCTAAAACATTTAAATGAGTACAATTGTGATAAATATAATCTTGTATGTTATCAACATATTGCAGAATAAAGTATTACCTAGAAGCACGAAAGTCTTGACTATATACGAGTAGGTAGCGAATTCTGACTAACTCACTATTTGTGACCAAGTAACTTTTATTTGGAATTTTGCCACCTACTGTATCCGGTACAGTATTCCTTGATTCATCCCCTAAGTATAAAAAATTATTTGTTTCAAATCATGATATCCTGTATTTTCTTTTCAATATTGACAATATTAAAGGCAAACTTTGCTTGATTAGGAATACATGATTTATTACTTGAATCCCCTCGTTTTATACCAGGATGATTAATGAGTTCACAAAGTGCGATACAGCTTAGTTCACTGCCAAGCACACTTCCTCCCCAGCCATAACCAACTGGACTGTATGATAAACTGACTCCCAATTCACTTGATAAATATATTCCCTTTCCATATAAGGAAGTCTAAATAATAAATTAAAATCATATGAAAATCATATTGCAAAACTTTAGGGAACATGTTTGATTGTTTTATTTATAATATCATTTTATCCATGATATTTAATGACTTTATAAGGAAAGTATAATTATTATATTTTACTCAGAGTTACCTTGCACATATTTTGTTGTAAGCCATAGTGAATAATAGAATAAAAATTTTCCAATCGACTGCCATGAAATGCATAAAATGTAGAATGTCCTTTAGCAGCTATTTTCCACTTTTCTTCCGAAGTAGATTGCTTTGCACTCGCTACTTGAAAAATCAAATTCGGGATTGCTGCAGATATTTCCATTGGTACCCTTCTTAATACCGAATCATACTATAAATAAAATGTTAAAGTTTGATGAATGAGCTATTTTTACAAATTACTATTATTAAAATACTGTAAATACTTACACATTCCTTATTTACACTTTTAATGAGTGGGTCCTTAAATTTTATAAGTACCCAATGTAATAAATCAATGGCTGGACCATGATTATCGTACACATTAGGTTCATGAAGTTCTTGAAATATTATAGCCAGAGGAGGAACCATTTCTATTACTTTTCTCTAAGTATATAATATAAAATGCAAATAATAAAAGTAACTAATAATGTATAATATATATGCACCATGACAATGAAAGCAAAAATATGATTAATTATAGAATAACGTACCAAAGCTTCAATATCCTTGCATTCATTTCTTATGTACATAGGTGGAAACGGTTTAAGGCAGGAATCAAAACGATAAGTATGACAGGCTGCTACGAAAAAGGACCATTTTAAATCTGCAGCTTTTGGATCCTTTTTGAGTAATGATTTAAGTGACAAAATCTTCTTTGCTATTTCGTCTTTACTCATATTTAATGTTGTCGACGTCGATGGACTATTAATCTCCAAATTATTTCCTTGTAATTTGGAATGATTCATACTGCTCATCCCTAATTCACTTTGTGCTTCATACCTTTCCTCTTTGCATGCCATTTCTTATAATTAGTAACCAGAACCTAAAAACATTATCTATTAATATATAGGAAAATAAAAAGTCTACATCCGAATAACAATAATTAAAAAGCTAATCAACTATGAATTACAAATTATAAAAGTGAGAAGATCAATTCATTTAAATACAAAGCAATAAGTACTAGAAAAATATTCATATTAAATACCACACAGACAATGTTCAATTTTTATAAGGAATAATAAACATTGACATCTGATCCAATCTGATTTTATGAGAAGGATCTTAATATTCAAGGGAGATTATTTAAGTCTGTACTAGTACAAGAGATAACCTGTAATATATGATCATTATATAGATTGAGTTCAGAATTATTAACGAAATTGTTAAAGAAACAAATATGGCGAAAGTATGTTTGAAATAAATGGTATTCTAACAAGAATTAAGATGGCCCAATCTGTGCCTAGGAAATCAATTTAAAGCATTTAGGAATTAACTAGCATTACAAAATTACTTTACTCTCTGAATAGAATAGTATATCACTTAATACCTTACATTGACAAAAATAATGAATAATTTTCATGAAGCTAACATTTTACTTACTCATTAGTTACAATAAATTTATTTCTGATTCTTTGACATTTTCTTGATTAAAATCCCCCCGCCTGGTATACAAATTACATACGACTGTTTTCATACTCCCTTTTGTTGCGTGGTTGCGTTTTACTTTTGTTTAAAATGGCGCGCCGAATAAAACAACTCAAGGTATCATTTTCAATTCAGCGACAGAAGAATGTTGAACAGAAGAGAATTCACTAAATACGTTCGCACGAACTGCTTTACATCGGTTTTATAACTAGATCTTGAGTAACAGATATCTGGCAGATAACTACTACAGCGCCCTTGGTAGAAAGACTTGGAAATGTTTTGTATAATCTATAGACCGCGAACAGGTATAATCAGGTTTGGGTAAGTATAATACATCATTTAGTAAAATTTTAAACAATTTTGAATGCATGTATGTGTTTACATGCTGTCTAAAAGATTTTAATAATCTAGCGGATGCCGTGTATCGAACATCTGCCGAATCCTTCAAATTGGATCCGTAATTTACTGCTTTTCTACAATTTTCTACGATAAACTATTTTGTTTAAGTATTATACGTCAAAAACCTCGAAAAATGAGGAATTACCGACCTTGAGCATCGTGCCTAAAATCAGAAATGAGCGGAAAGATGTTTTTTATGAACAACTGGAGCCGACCACGCTGGCGAGTGTTCCCGTTTACTACATATTCATACATATTTCAATAGTCATGTCTCACTTTCGGCAATGGCGTGAAACATCTCGCTCAGCTCTGCTAAAATAAAAAGTGTTTACATAATTCTTCACAGCGCTGGTAGATGGCGCAGACATACCGCAGGTTTCTTCGGAGTTCCACACAATGGCGGTAGAAAAATGCAAATGTACATACACGAGCACATGTAAGTCAGCCTGTGACTAACCTCTCAACTTTTCCATGTTAATGGTAGCGGGAAAGGTGCGGAATCTTTTAGCACGATATTTGCTAGGGACTTTGTTGCCGAGTATTTTCAAACCTGCGACTCAATGTCATGCTTCAAGGTAAACTATCGATGACGTCAGTGTACGTCATTTAACAAGTGGGAGTGGATGGATGGTCGTCCCTAGCCGCAGTAGTTTTGGCGAATCGCATCGGGTATCGTTCCGGGAGCTTGGCTCGGTGTTTCGGTGCGAAGATGTTGCGTGTTCCTAGCGATGTAGTGTTCGGCTAAGTAGCGTCGTTTCGCACGTGTCCCGCGGTACGTGGAAAATCACCGAAATCCGTTTGCGCATGCTCGCGACCGATGACGTCATGAAAATTGTGGTTTTGATCAAACTCGCTCGGTTTTTTTTGTACAATAATGTTGCTGCGCCAGGCTAAATAATTCGCGAAAAGCGGCGCGAATCACGCTTGACTCGATTCTACGCGGGTCAGTAGCGTGAGTACCGTGGACACTTCGTTCCTTCGGGTTTTCAAAAGTTCTACACCGCGGTGCAGTCCGGTGGATATGGCCTTCGCGCACACATATGACATTGAGTCTCATTTTCGGAAAAAATCCTTCGTTTCCCGTCTCGCTTTTTGTCAACTACGCCACCTTCGACTCCAGTGAAGAAGCCTTTGCCCCGCCAGGGTGGACAGAACTGACCAAGGAGGTTCGTGGGCTTTCTGTTATTATGCAAATATTTATTGATTTTGTTTGTATCGGGTACAAAAGGAAACGTTTATGTTTTAGGTACCTTTGATATTGTCAACTCAATATGCTAAGAAGGACCTATGTAGCCGAGTCGTTATTTGCCAGTCGAAAGAAGAAATGTACACGCAGGGCATTCATTGTAAGTGTCACGACAAAAACCAAAACGAGTCTGTTACATGAATTAAAAGCTCTTTGAGCACCGTGTCACAGATCTTGGATATACCACATGCTATGTTTATCAAACTTTGGACCTGTAGTAAGTCATAACAAAAACATCGCATCGCAGACAGTGGTTTTCCCAATAGGGTCCGATGGTAATAAGTTATAAACGTTGAATAACTTCACAAAGGTTTTTAATATACTAATGACTTATTGTGATTTAATGTATCTAGAGCAATTTCCTGATATACTTGCAGTAATCACTTTTAAGGAAAGGTAAAAGGAAAGTAAATATTTCTTGGAATAAATTATTAACGTAAGAAGTGCGATACCAGTACGGAAAGAAATTATTACAGTTACGCTGTGGTTATTCCAGGGTCCTTAGACTAAGTAAGTGTGAGGAATGCGTGCTCCTCTTAGAAATCATCTAATCACATAGTATTTTCATTAGAGAAATGGTTTCGACTCTTTTATTCTATCGCAGTTAATTAATGTCTAATATCTGAAATTGGCCAAATGAATTTAAGTAAAAATAGTCAGAAGAATTACGTATATATTCTTATATTCATTAATACTTTAAATTATAAACAAGATACAAAATTGCAGAACTATGATTAAGATAGTTCAATAAAGCATCTTACGAATAACAAACATATGTATAGTGGATGTCCAGACGTATAATTTATTAATTTGTGTAACCAAAGTCGCAAATCGGGATGCAGGAAAAACACCGAAGACGTTCGTATATTGTTCTTTTCCTTTAGAATGGATGCGCTGGAAGTCGGCGAAGTTTTCTGATTTCTTGGCCGATACTGCCATCTACACGCCAATCTTGTTTTCTCTGAACTACCGATATCGGTAAAGTAGAAAGCTTCGCGCCAAACTCAAGTACTTCGAGCGCTGCAAGCTCTGCATTGGACTGAGGTAGAGAATGATATTCTGAAAGTAAAGCAGTAGCGATTTACAAAAAGATATAATAGGCGCGTGAATGGCGGAAATGTCATTATATAATCACGGTACTTAAATTTCAGCAACTCGTAACGCAACACGTACGTGAGAAGCGCGTCATGGTAGCACGTTAATTTTTATTTACGGATAACTCAGTTACCAGAACGTACTCAGCTGAGATAACTCACGGTTTATCCTTCTCGCGTGCATCGTACTGCGTGGAATGTTAAGTTAGCTTACCTATAATGAATTTCCTATGAGATTGACAGAAAGTAAGAGTGCATAATCATTAACGGCACGATCTGTCTGTTCCTACCAGTAAACCGTATAATCACCACACGTACATTACAGTCGGTAAATATTACATTCGAAGACGATAAAGACTCTCCTTTAAGCGGATCAATGTCGTTTCGCACTTGCCGTGGCCTCTTGTTGCTACAGTTCACACGCGTTGTTAAACAAACTACATTACGGCATAGAATGATCTCGGATTAACGAAACTGTACCGAGTTGGTTTACTTGATTACGGACCGCAAATTCCTTTACCGATGCCCTGTGTACTTCATTTCTGGGTGAAAGTTCATTAGATAGTGATTGATACTCAGTTTTAAAAAGCAACGTTAAAATAATGTACAAGGAGATATTTAAACACTAATGAATGGCGGCTTACACAGTAATTGGCGTTACATAATCCCGGGATAAATCGAATACATTTTTTTTATGCAATTACTAAACTCTTGTTTCGCGGTAAATTATTTAAAGTACTAGTAATTAAAACGGTATTATTTGGTCACGCTGATAGGAAGTCATGTCATCGTGGTTAGGAATCTTCTTCTACATCAATTTAAAAAAAAAAAATAATAATGGACTTTATATCCGGTTGATGATTATATTCATTTGTATAGTTACAAATTGTGTAAATATGTGTTGCAAAGCTAATTAACAGCTACACATGTGCAATGTATTCGTAATTACTGTTCACCGGCTGTTGATGTCTAAGACAATACACAACCGTAGAAAATTATTTTTTTTTTTAATGCTTTCAGAACATACATGCAAAAAAATATTTGGTTTATTGCCTAAATTATTTTCTAAGATTACTAAAACTATTTAACCAAACCACCTTGGTTCAAGCAAACTTGTTTTGTAAAGTGAATAAAATTCAGTTTTCCCAACCGAAAGGCTTTCTGAAATTAACCAAGTGCCGGTAATCAAACGATTTTGTTCAATGAGCCATTTGTTTTTCCTGTGTGTTCACGGAAGCTTTCCTTGCCGGCTAATTAATTTACTGATGAAGAAGTTTTATCCTTTGGTCATCCTTGCATTGTTTATGTACTCCTTTGTATTCTATCTGACAACACAACGGGTCGTTATTGATAACGAGTATTTGGCAAAAAATTGGTCTTTCAAACCTACGAGACAACGAGCAGTCGTTCCGCGATACCGATAAAAAGCATTAGACAAATAACGTAACACTTACGTACCAGTGAAATGTATTAATAATAAACTTGGGTGTGCGAGAGAGATAACTAGAAACGAAGCGAGGAGCGATTGATTAAACATCGTCATACTTGAAAACGTGTAACACTCAATTCAATCGCAACAAGCTATGAAGCCGTATTATCTCTCAGGATTGATGCGGTGCAATTTATTGGACATTTCGCGTACAGTCGAGAGTACAGAGAAGCATTTCTCGGTAGACGTATATACAAAGTGCACGTATTCTGTGGAACATGGCAATTCCAATATGACGCGAGGCCAAGAAAAGTTCACTCCGGATCTAGATCTGCCATAATCGCTCTTATCAATTCGACATTGTAATCGAACCCTAGCAAAAGAAATCGATAAAATTATCATTCGGCAGATACTAACGTATCCATTCGGATATATTGACACTTCTCGCGGATGTAAATTATCAGCGGACAAAATTCAACCCTTCCTCGTTACAGGAGAAAAAAAGACGTACGCACTCTTAACAAAGTGGCGGCATTGCTGATAAAGTTTTGCTCTTACTGCAGTAATAATAGCGGTAAAGGGGAAAATCTTTGCAATTGTCTCAAACGAAGACGTAACTCTAGGTTTTTTTAAAAAAAAAAACAAGGCTTACTAAATTAGCATATATAAATGTGGAACAACGGTCAAAGAAATATTATTTTTACTAGACGATCTATCGAGCGATATATGATTTGTTGCCACTGGCAAAGAGATTTGCAATCATCGATACAACTTCTGTAGCTTTTGTAGACTAATAGTTTTTTTATTGCTCATACAACAAAAACGTCTCTGCAAAGAAATTTAACTGGTCCATTTTCAAGCGTTAACATCAATCGAAGTAGGTACAATTTTGTATCGTCACTGAATTACTTTTCCG